TAAGTTCAGTCAAGAGATTTAAAATACTAAGTTGTGGGAAGGAGCCAGATAAACTGTAGTTGCATATCTGTATATTCCATTTTAGAGGGGAGCACCATTTAAGGTAGATTTTTTTCTTTCCTTTTGAGGCCTGGAAATGGGAATAAGTTAAAGCAAAGGAGTGGATCCTTCAAAAGAGAAAGCAAAGAGAATCCCTCCTAACAGGCCCTTAGGGCAATTGTTAGACCAACGGGATTCTTGGGAAACCACAAAGGGTCAAGACAAGAGTACTGAAGTATGGCCAAAGTTAAAATTACCGGGAGAGTGGCCATAGTATAGAAACCAAAATCAGAAGATATATAATCAGCTAAACCAATACCTAGAAGCCCTAAGATTATATTTAAAGAAAGAAGAAGAAAAAGCCAAAACTAAAGCTAGACTTATGGTTGCAGTTGCTTGAGGAAGTATAAGAGCAGGCAGGTCACCAGCGCTGCCGTCTAAGTCAAGTTGGAATAGACCAGGGCTGTTACCAAAGAAATAGAGATCAACCAGCACCATCATATGAAACAAATAAGAACTTTAATGACTTTAAGAAACCTGAAGCTTCACAAAGCAACAGGAGGTGCTATTACTGTAGTGAGATGTGTCTTATGTTTCAGTTTAATGAAGCAATGCAAAAAGAACAAAAAGTCTTAGAAGAGATTTCAAGGGGAGATGACTAGGGGTGTTGGGAGTTCAATAAGCAAAGCGATCTAATCAACCATCAACAAGAGCCCTTGGTAAACTTTAAAGTAAGTCCCCACTAAGAAGATTTTGAGTTCTTAGTTAACACAAGGGTAGATAAGTCCAGGACAAGTTACCAGTAAGAGTCAACATTGGGAAGAAAGTCTGTGAGGTTTTAGGAATGAAAGGGAAGGCCAAAGTAATCTCTTAAGAAGAGACTTGCAAGTCCTATGAAGGGTAAAGATTATCCCACGAGAAAAAAGGTAGTTCAAGTCATGAATTGACCCACTGGGGAATCCAAAGTTTGTGCAACCACTTTTTTTTACGGGAGAATTTATATATTGGAGCGTATGACCTGGCAAAAGCAGTCACAAGAAGGTGTGCGATTTTCCTGAAAACTGACCAAAAGGTAATGAGAAAACAAGCACATGGGAGAAGAAAACTTGCTTTAAGACCTTTCCAGAACATACATGTAGATTTCACTGAAATGCCCTCTGTGCAGACGTACAAGCATTTACCAGTGATGGTAGATCATCTCACTCACTGGGTGGAGGCTTTCTCAGCCAAAAAGGAAACTGCAAGAAGTCGCAACAATAATCTTAGAAAAAAATCATACCTCGATACGGGCTAGTCAATAACTTTGACTCGGACCGAGGTCAACATTTTGTTGCTCAAACTTTGCATCAAGTAACAAAAGCCCTGGAGATAAAGTAGAGATTGCACACCCCATGGCATCCTCAAAGCTTGGGAAAGGTAGAAAAAATCCATAAAACTCTTAAAAAAAGTAATAACCAAATTAATTAAAGAGACAAAAAAATGAATTAGCTCAAGTGTTAACCTCTTGCTCTCTTGCGCATCAGACCTCGACCTCGGTCCGACATAGGGGTTTCTCCTTATAAAATGATGTTCAGACTCCCTTTTCTAACCACCCCTTTCAGTACTGCAGATTATTTAAAAGGGGAGGCAGTAAGTTAAAAATATTTAAAATCATAAGAAAATCCCTAGAAGGCCTCAGAAAGAAGGGGTATCTTCCCCAAACCTCCCCTCTGGATACCAATGCCCACAACATCAGTCCCGGGGACTGGGCGTTAATAAAATCCTGGAACACCACCACTCCACTAACCCCCAAATTTGAAGGACCTTTCCAGGTGTTACTCACCACATACGCTGTGATGTGAACCCAAGAAAAAGGCTGGATCCATATCCCCAGAGTAAAAGGACCAGGACCATCCCCAGACGCCAGACCAGACCCAACAGGGTCACCCACCTCCTCTTGTGCATAAACGGTATTGCTAGAAGCTGATATACGGTAAGGTGGTAATAACCGCTTCTGAGTTAAAGTACCCTTGTCAAAGTTTAAGTACTTTGTAACTGTTTAATAAGTGCCCTTTAGAGGGTCACCCAACCCACCTCTTCCTGGGCATAGACAGGTATTAAGGAACCAAAAGACTTAAAGGTAACTTTAAAGAAGACTTGCTAAAAGCTGATATACAAAATTAAGAGAATGACCCAAAGAAGCTAACCCTCAAAAGCCAGAGACTGTAAGTTGATGCGGGCTTAAGCCCGATCAAAGAAATAGAGGAGGGATTTGTTATGAACAAAACTGCCTGGCTGGGACACTTGGCCTGGGCTAAATACTGACATTGAAATGTTAATTAGCTAATTGTTCCTGGGAATCACCTACCTCCCCCCACCCTCACTACCATTCTAGGACTGGGATGCAAAATAATCCAGTGGAATCATGGGAGGGGGTTTTGGGGATGAAAAACACCCCTAAATGGAAAAGATGGGCACAGTGGAGGGGGCTGGATGGGCGTGCTGGTTGGGGAAAAGGGAACCCCATCCCTAGTCTGTGTTTGACCTGTCACCATAACCTACAGAGGACCAGATTGGACTGGGCTGTGGGAAGCAGGAGCAAAGCAGTGAGACACTTCCTGGTGCTGCCAGGAGGGAAGGAGAGGGACAGCTGCTGCTGGACTTCGGCAGCAGGCTCTGCACATCCCCCCACCCTGCGGCCACCAGTGTGCCGGGAGGAAAGGAGAGAGGACGGTCTGCTGGGACTTCAGATACGGACTGCACACCTCTTCACCTCCAGCTACCAGCGTGCCACGGAGACTCCAGGGACAGACTCTGCACACCTGCTCACCCTTCGGCTACGGGAGAAGCTACAACAGCGGAGGTGAGCTCCTCGTTGAGCCCCCTGCCGAGCTGACTTTTTAATAAAGAGCTGACTATTAATAAAGGCATAGACCCTGTTCATTTCATTATGACTTCTCTATTCCTCTTCTGAGCCCATCTCTTGGAAAATTTTCAGATATTTTACCTGATTAGTACAATTTCTCTTATAATATCCTAAGTCTGTCTAACTATTCACTTGGAGTTTCTTCTTTCTCTCTTAAAAGCTGTCCCTAAAAAGCTTTTTTAGCCTTTTTTTTTTTTTTTTTGCATTTCGCCTTCTGGATGCGGTCTCTTTTATTCCCTTGCTTATCAAATTACAATAATTATTCTTGTGTTCTTGTTACCGAGGGAACGGAGCGCAGGGCAGGAGGGGGATTTAGGGGAGGGATCTACGCCAAGGCTTAGTCCTCCAAGGCGCAGGCAGGGTCGACTGCCGCAACCGCCAAAGGGGGATCTTCTGGTGGAGACCGAGCCGCACATGGCTGATGGTGGCTGTTTTGGCAGCTCTCGGCCCAGACAAAGCAGGCGGGACGGCCCCGGCAGCAGCGGCGGCACCCAGCGCAGTGAGCACAGGAAGGGCAGCCGGGGATGGGACGGTTGGGACAGATGGGACCCCCTCCCCACCCCCCGGCGCGGTCAGCGCGGCTACCCCAGACCACACGGCAGGACGGACCCCAGGCACGGCCGGTGGAGGGGCCACGGGTCAAGCGGCCAGGACCAGGGCGGAGAAATTCACCGGCGTGGCCGGAGCCGGGATGGGAGCGGGGACCGGCGCTGCAGCCCCGAGCGGCGAGACCGGCGCCGGGACGGAAACCAGAACCAGCGGGGCAGCCGCGGACGGTGGAGGGGCGAGTGGGAACGGAGGAGGCAACACTTGCAAAGCATCCCAATCTTTTTGTTTCCTTCCTCCTTTTCCCCGCCCTTTTCTTTCCCTTTTTCCTTTTCTTGCGTTGTGTCATGGTTTGACACTGGCACAATGCCAGCGCCCCCATGAAAATGCTTAATAACAAAGGGAAAAAACTTTATTAAACTACTACTATACTACTATAAAAGAAAAAAGAAAGAAAAACACACTAAATCCAAAATGAAAACCTTCCAAAACATTCCTCCTCCCCCCCCCCCCCCCCCCACTTCCAACAAACCACAGTGAGACAAAACTTGGACCCCCAATCAGGTTCTCATCCTTCAGATAATCAATACTCAGTCCATCGAGGGAGAGAGGAGTCTCTCCTGTGCCATAGACCCCCCAAGAAACACAGCTGCCACTTCTTGTGTTTCCATGTAACACATGGCACCGCCCGGAGAAAAAGTTTGCCATGGTAACACTCCTTTCCAATGCACAGTGCTCTCACCACCAATGCATGGATGGACAGACTGCTCATAGGGTTTTCCTTTCAAGGATGCTTTGCCAAGGACCAAATGTTATAAATCAAAATTTGTCCAGCCAAATTAATATGAAAAAGAAAATATTTATTTTGCAATCAAATTTTATCTAGCCAGCCACAAGGAAAGAACAGAGCCGAGCCCGGGGTCGGCCCTGGGTGTGCAACAAGGAGTCAGCCTCATCAGAGGTTTTCCTCCATGCCCACACACCTCCATCCTGGCACAAGCAGTTTTTATAGGGACAATTCTGCCTGAGGACAAGATTTCAGCAATCAGTCTTTTCTTCTATTCAGAGTCCATATGATAATAAGATTTTCTTTTTTGGTGATGAGGGAGAACAATTCAGTGTCCGGAGTTGTTGAATCCCTTGATGAAATTTACGGGAATTCGGGAAAGCTGTATTCACATGTATCTGCCTCAGGATTTCCATGATATCCATCTCGGGTCGTTTACGCGAACGATCAGCACCTGGGGTTTCTGTATCTCCCCAGACATGGCACATGGCCCATCTCCTGGCGAGCTGTACCTTCTTACTTGTAAATCAGTTTCCAATCTACACCCGGTCTCACCTGCGCCTGTGAGGGTGGGGGGGGAATCCTAATACAAACATGTGTACTCTAACAAATATTCAATATCACATATATCATATTAGAAATGGCGCAAATTATATCTACTACACATAACACAAAGAAAAACAACAGTTCAGTTTCTCATTTTTTGGGACCATAGTCCCCCCCCATTTTCTTCCTCTCCTGGGGCCGAGGGTCTCAAGAACAGAGATCATCTTCTTTCTGAAGACAGAGGGCATCACCACACCCTCCTCAACTCTTCTTTATTCACTCCACTCCTGTGTTGGTAGTCACTGAGGCGGGTCTCTTGGCTCACCAAACATCCCCCTAAAATGCAGTCTCTCTTGGAGAAAGAAAATTGGTTCAGTTTATGGTTAACAAGAAAAAGTCCAGCCAAAAGCCACTCCATCATCTTCCCCCCCAATCTTCTTTTCCTAACATCCCAGGTCCCAGGCTGTCTCTCTTCCTCTCTTTCAAACCGAAGAGCAGTAAAATTTCACAAAGCTTTCATTTCTCAAGGAAGGGTTAAAAGTCCCGACTCCCTGGATGGCTCTCAGCCCAGGCTCCAGCTCCCAGGCTGGGCACACTTTTCCCCCCCCTTCCTCCTCTGCCGAAGTACTGTCGAAGTACTGTTGGCACTGTCGATGTCCCTTTCGAGAGGGAGAGAGAGACTCTGGGGGGGAACGGAGACATCCCAGATTTCTCCACCCTTCCATCTGCAGGGGGCCAGCCCGGTTCCAGTCCCTCCACCCTTCGGCCTTACCGCAGTCAGGCTGCAGGCCTTCCCCTCCCCCATCCAGCCACCTGGCTGGGCAGGGGAGAGTCTGCACTGCACTCTGACCTGAATCAAAGAGAGAAAGTTCTCCCGGGAATTCTGCTTTTAACCCCTCTGTGTACTCAGAGGTGTGTCCACCCTCAATTGGTCACCCCAAGTGTCAATATCCAACCCTGACCCCTGACTGGATTCACCTCTTGCTTCTGAGAAAATTCTTTTTCCGTGTCAAACCTCGACACGTTTTCTCGGTGGTTTCTGATACTTTAAAGATTTTTATTCTCCTAAAATGGCATATTCTTCTGGATTGAATGGTTCCTTTGAATTTATAAATAAATTTTAGTGCCTAACAAATCTAAACTTCTACTTGGATACTTTGAAATGGTCGAAGAGCTAACTCACGACCTCCTAATGTTTTCCTCATCACCTTTTTATTTATCCTTTGGCAATTTATATATCATTCAGTCACTTGCCTTGCTACTCCAAAAAAATCCCAACGCATCCATAGCTCCTTTCTTGTTTGTTACATATTCTAGTGCTCTTTTTAGAGCATATAATTCACAAGTTTGAGATTACCGGTTCAAGGTTAATTTCCCTTTTTCAATAGTTTGTATGTTTTTCTCATCAACTACTGCATACCCTGTATTTTCTCTTTGTAAAGGGATTTGTATCTCTGTTAGCCAACATAACCCCCCAAAGGGCTATCTTGGGGTATCTCTGCTGGTACCCTTTTACTCCCTTTTTTTTTTTTTTTGTACCCACTTTACTGGTTTTCTGTCCCAGTTTTCAATATCTTATCTATTCATCTCTTGCCTCTGTTTCGCACTTTTTTTCCCCATCAACTTAAATACCCCTTTCTTTTGACTACACACACACAAAAGAATAAAAAACCCTTTTTCTCACAATACTATGCAACACAATACACCTCCCTCCAAGGAGACAAGGAGATAAAGTGAAGCTCAAAATAAACTATCTACATTTCATATACTTGCATTCGTCTACATTTACTCACCTTTATTTTTCACTCCCTCACACACATTCACACCCTCAGGCCTGCTCATTCATACTTCTTGACTTCTGCTTAGCCGTAGGGGTTTTTTTTTGTTTTTGTATCTTGCCCACCTGGATAGTGTAAGATTTTATTCGACATCCCAGATATTTGAGTATTGACACCCCTAAGTTTTCCCACTGACTTAGGTTCAGCAATCCATACATTTCCCTTTATTTTATTGGACAGAGGAAGGAAACATTAGCAAACCTCTTAGACTTACACTACGGGATTTCTGTTGCCAGAGAATCACGTATCTGTGTAAGCCCCCACCCTGACCCCTTCCACCTCCCTGAGGTTTGGCTATCCCTCTACCCTAGAGATAGCTTCAGAGTCAGGGGTTCGGACCTCCGCACCTTGCCGATCTGGACTCCCCACCCCACTCCTCCAGGGGAATGGGTTACATGACTGCCCTGTGCAGCCGCGGTGCTAAAAGGTCCTATGATACTGTGCCATCCTTGCTTTGGGGTCAGCCTTTCTGGGCTTCAGTACCGCCAGGCCTCCAGGAAGTGCCCTGAATTTGGTTGCCTCTGGTGCCTGTTCACCTTTGAGGCTGTCTGCATGTGATTCACACTCTTTAGTCACAGCTTCCCCCACACATCCGGGGGATCAAGGCTTGTTTGCTGGTCATGCCTCAGCCCCTACCCACCAGGGAAACAACTGCTTGTTGGTGCAGGACCCACCCTCACACACACCAAGACAACAAGGTGCCTTTTACTTTCAATTCACCTATTACACTTTTAGGTGTTACTGGCCTATCCCGGTGCTCTTGGATATCCCCTGAGTCCCGCTGTGTTGTCCAACCCCAGATGCCCTTGGGCATTTTTATCCCTCAATCCAGCTGTGCTGCCAATCATGGATGCTCTTGAGAATATCCTCAGTCAGGCAGAATTTTGCTCAACCCTGGATGCTTTTGGAATGTTAATCCCACAACCCAGTAGGTTGAAATCCTGGATGCTCTCAGGTAGTCTTATCCCTCAATCCAGCAGAATTTTTAGGGGCCCCTTCAACACTATTTCTTTTTTCTTTTTTTTTTTTTTTTTTTTTTCCCCAGTGGATTTTGCCAGGAAAACCCTGGTCTTCTTCTCTCCAAGGGGTGCCACTTCTACCCTGAGACCAGTCCCAGTTTCCCCGGGGGGAAATCTTTCACTCTTTTTTATCACTCGCTTAATCTCTTTACTGGTGCTTTTCTCACAAAAAGAAGAAACCGCAGCATGGGATACTACCTCAATCACTTGGCAGGTCTGGGATAACCAGCCCACCTCTCATTCACACACATTCATCCCCCCCCCCCCCATATCCCCCGTCCAAATGAATACTTACCTATTCTTTGTCCTTAGGTCTTTGTTCTTAGTCTTAGGGGCTAATTACCGCGGTTTTAGGGAATCCTTTCCCTTTTCTTTGTTTTATTGCCTCCTTTTGTCCATCTGTTGGTCACACTAGGGGAACAGAGAGAGGCTGCCTAAGGCAGGGCAGGACGCGTCTTCCTCACCCTGACTCTCCTAAGTCACCAGCAGAGAGGTGTTAGAAACCATCCTCTGCTACTATAATTGTGAAAAACGCCAATCACTTGTATTTTTAAGTTTTAAAAGTTTATTAGTAATAAAATAGTTATAAAAATAGTAATAAAATTAGAGTAATGAAAATTTGGACAATGAGGATAAGGACACTACGAGACAATAAAAAGCAAAGAATTTCGGATGTCTGGATGTTTTTGGGCACTAAGCTGCCAAAAAAAATGCCTTGCCAACAAAAGAATAACTCTTAAAAGCAATAGTCTGTTGCATATTCATATATCTCAAACATGATACATAAATTCCTTGCAAATTAAGAATTTTTCTGGTGTTTGTCAACTTCTTCCTCTTAATCCTGGTGGTTCCATAAAGACAGAGAGAAGGTGGAAGACTGTTTGTATTTTCCGATAAGGAGGCAGTAACTCTTTATGTGTCTTTCTTGAGCTAGTAAAAAATATCTTACATCGCATAGTTTCTATTTTAACATTATGTTGTAACCTAAAACTATATTTAACACACTACTTTAGAGAATTAATACAGCTTAACCTTCTAACATTACACATATAATATTAATTTTAATATTTGCAAAAAGGCAATCATAAAATACACATTTTTCACACCGGAGGAGATAGAGGAGAGGCAGGGATCACTGGAGGAGATAAAGATAGGTTTTGAGAAGCAGGAGGCTGGGTGTTAAGTGGGCAAGTGGCTTGATAATTTGGAGGAAGAGTTGGTGGGGCTGCATAGTCTAGTGGATCCCCACCTTTTTTGAATAATACCCTCGTTTTCTTTATACTTTTCCTCTGGTTTCTGCTCTTTATCTTTTCATTTTAGTTTGTATACCTTAAAATTGCCTTCTAAGAATTTGACCCAGTAAGTAACATACTCTACTTCTTCTGAATTAGGGTTTTCTTGGTTACACACTTGCTGATATAATAAATTGCATAACTACTTATCTCTACTTCCATACCAGGGACACTTTAAGGATTTTTGTTGTAATTTCCTCTTTGGTCAACGTTCCACACAATAATAAACCATCTTCACTTGATGTAACTTTATAGTTGTTTCCCACTTATTCCAGTCATCGACTATATAACCAAGGGGGCTTACAAGAGGAATATTCTTATTCTTGTTCTTTGGTCTCCCTCCTTGTCTACTGTGGGTCTGACACATAGTGACTTTTAGTTACTATAAGCTTTCGGGCTGGTAAAAACTGCTTACCGTTACTGGGCCCTTTAAAAGTTCTGTTTCACTCTTTTTTAACTTAAGAGAGAGAAGATCTCCTCCTAATCCCTTTCTGTTTATGCAGAAAGGTCTCCTTGCAGCTTTGGTGCCTCTGGGCACTCTTATCTGGCGTTCTTATCTAAGGAGCACTTACTCTTTGTCACTCATACACACTGTGCAGGAGAGACACTCTTATCTCACATTCATTCACACATCAGGCCTCTTCATGGGACTTCTTAGTCGAGTTTTTGGTCCTTGGTGCCTCACCCACCTGGACTACATAAGGTACCTTTTTCTACATCCCAGAATGATACCCCTACGTTTCCCCACTGACAGGTTCAGGTTCGGCACCCCGGAATTTCCCTTTTATTTTATTGAACAAAAGAAGGAAATGTTAGCAAACCTCTTAGACATACACAAAGCAGAGCCCTGTTGCCAGAGAATCACTGGTCTGTGTAGGCCCCCACCCTGATATCTTCCACCTCCCCTGAGGTTTGGCTATCCCTCTTCCCTAGAGATAGTCTCAGAGTCAGGGGTTAGGACCTCCACACCTTGCCCAAGCTGGACTTCCCACCCTCCATACCTTGAGGAATGGGCCACACAACTACCCCTCACAGCTGCGGTGCTAAAAAGTCCTACGATATGGTAGACCCCCTTGCCTTGGGATCACCCTCTCTGGACTTTAGTACCGCCGGGCCTCTGGGAAGTTCCCTGAATCTGGTTACCTCTGATGTTAGTTCACTTGTGAGGCTGTCTGCGTGTCACTCAAAACCGTTTGCCCAGCTCCCCACATGCCTGGGAAGCTGAAGCTCCCAGACAGCTACCAGTGCAGCGACCCTGGGGGCATCCTTGGCTCCCTTTAGCCCTCTCTCTCTCTCTCTCTTTCTCCTCTCTCCCTCAACCCGCTTTCCAGGGCAGATGATACCATCCTGGACTCGGGACCTTAGCAGGCTGGGAACCACCCCTAGTTCTGCCTGAGACCAAGATTTCGGCAGTCAGTCTTTTCTTCTATTCAGAGTCTATAGGTTAATAAGATTTTCCTTTTTGATGATGAAGAAGAACAATTCAGTGTCAGGAGTTGGTGAATCTCTTGATGAAATTTACCGGAACGCTACATTCACCTGTATCTGTCCAAGGATTTCCATGATATCCATCTCGGGTCGTTCACGCGATGATCAGCACCTGGGGTGTCCCCCCCCCCGCCTCCGTATCTCTCCACACATGGCCCATCTCCTGGCCGAGCCACATCCTTTTATGTGTAAATCGGGTTTCAACATACACCAGGTTTCACCTGCGAGGGTGGGGGGGAGTCCTAATACAAACGTGTATACTCCAACAAATATTCAATATCACATATATCATATTAGAAATGGGGTGAATTATATCTACTACACATAACATAGGCCAATAAGCATGGTCAGATCTTATTTCCTTTTTTGTCCATTCTATCATACAAAATTGGATCATCTTTACCTTGTCCTTTCTCCTTGTACAAGGATTTTTATCCCAGTTAGCTAACATAACTCCCAGAGGGCTATTTTCGGGTATTTCTGCTTTTACTGTGTTTTTTCTTTCCTGTACCAAACTTACTGGTTTTCTGTCCCATTTTTCAAGATCTTATCTATTTGTCCCCTGCCTCTGTTTCCCACTTTCTCTAACAACCTAAATACCACCTTCTTCCCACTACCCACACAAAAAAACCCCCTTTTTTCTCACAATACAATTCAATATAATATACCTCCCTCCAAGGAGATATAGTGAAGCTTAAAATAAACAATTTACATTACATATACTTTCATTCATCTACATTTACTTGCTTTTATTTCTCACTCGCTCTCACACATTCATTCACACCCTCAGGCCTGTTCATTCATGCTTCTCGACTTCTGCTTAGCCAAGTTTTTGTTTTTTGGTGCTTCGCCCACCTGGACTATGTAAGGTACTTTTTTTCGACACCCCAGAACCTTAAGTACTGACACCCCTAAATTTCCCCACTTGTTGTATTGAGCTAAGTAGTTTAGTTATTATTTTGCACTGGGTGATTGTACTTTTGCATTGAGTAGTTTTTATATTGCACTAAGTGGTTTGTTTGTATCACATGGTTTGTTCCACACACCCCTCTTCCTCCAAGGTCCTGTGGTGGTGATCTTATCCTGGGTTACTTCCTCCCCTCGCTCCTTCCATCAGTTGTATCCCATTGGCTGTTGTCCCTCTCTTCTGCCCCCCACCCCCTGGGTTTAAAATCCCCCACCACAAGACCCTCGATCTCTTTTTCCTCTGGGACGCCCCTTTACTCCCTTGGAGGTGCTCCACAATTAAGTTGTGGGACATTGGTCCCGAGAAGAAGAGTGCCTCACATCTTTTACCTTTGTTCTTGTTGGCCAACCTGGGGTCCAGAGCTAGCCAGGGGACCCCATGAAGGCTTACATAACGGCAGCTGGAACCCAACGTGTAGCCTCCTGCAAAGTCTGAGACCCACTCTACGCCTTTTTGGACCATCAGCTTCCTCGGAGTTTTCTGTTGCTTTTTGGACGACGACGACGCTTTCGAGGGTGGGGCCGGCAGTTTGTTTCAGCCCAAGAACGAATCGATCCCAGGACAGAGGACTTCCTTGCAGCATTCCAGCCAACCCAGGTCCCCAGGAGGAGGTGAGTAAACCCCACGAGTGGTAGTGGAACCCCAGAGTGATCCCCGGGTGGTGGGGGTTAATCTCAGGCGTGAGAGAAGGGTGCAGCCCCGTGTGGAGGTGTTTCTGTGTGTAGGCGGCGGTGCAGCGGTTCAGAGCGGAGGTGCAACGGTGCCATGGCTCCGGGCCGCGAGTGGCAGCAGCGGTGTGGCTCCGAGCACGGCGGTTTCTGTTTCCGTGGTGCCGCGGCGCGACAGGCAGCGCTGGCTCTGGGGCGAGCAGTTTCTGCAGCGGCACAGGCAGCAGCAGCTCCCGGGGGGGGCGGGGGGGGGAATGTGCAGGCGGCGTGGGGAGAAACCACGGCTCATGTCTTTTTACCTCCCGCAAGTGGTGGGACCGGCGCAGGCGATGCTAATCTGCGGGATGGCCACGTGGCATGGCAGAGGCTGTGCAGCTCCCAGCAGCGATTTTAAAAGCAGCACGGTTTTGCACGCAAGTGGTTTTACTTCTTACCTCACAGTTGGGGGGGAAGGAAACTGCAGACGCTTCCCTAGATTGGCTGTGGACATTGTTGCGCTTTCAGTTTCTGTTTGTGCTGGTTTCAAGGAAGGTAGATTCAAGTGTGCAGACAGCATGTAACACCAGAATAGGCACTAAGCTGACTGAAACACAGAGGGGCATTATTACCCAAGTTCAAGATACCCTAGGTAGTGTAATGAACAAAGTTCCCAGTGCCCCCGGGGTTGCCGGGCAGACAGGGCCTTCCTGGCTCCCATGGCAACACTGGAACAATTGCTAGCTCTAGTTAAGCATCGATATTGAAATGTTAATTAGCTAATTGCTCTGTTTGTTTTCTCTAAACTACCTGGAGATCACCTACCCCCCACCCACGCTGCCATTCTAGGACCAAGATACAAATAGGAAAACCCATGGAACCATGGGAGCATGTTTTAGGGCATAAGGACACCCCTAAATGGAGAACTAAACACAGTAGAGGGGGCTGGACAGGTACGGTACACTGGCTGAGGAAGAGGAAAACACATCCCCTGATCAACGTTTGACTTGTCACCATCACCTATGGAAGACTAGACTAGAGTGGGCTGTGGAAAGCAGGAACAAAGAGGCAAGATTTTCCTGGTGTTACCACGAGGAAAGGAGAGGGGACAGCTGCTGCTGGGGACTTCAACAACAGACTCTGCACACCTCCTCACCCTTCCGCTACCTGGAAAAGCTACAACAGTGGGGGCGAGCTCTGTGTCAGGCCCCCTGCCCAGCTGATCTTTTTAATTAAGAGCTGAACATTAAGAAAGGAATAAGCCCTGTTCATTTCAGGTAGTGGAAACATTAAAGTTTTCAAAGGACAGTTAATAAGGTTTGTTCACTGGTTATCTTTTCATTTCCCTCAGTTTACCCAGCAGAATGTGAATTCTATCTCTGCCTGGAACAAAATTGGAGAATTGTTAACAGCAAAAGTGGAACAGAGAGATTAAACAGCATCCAAATTTCTCCTGGTGTTCCTTTTAATTCAGAAAGAGTTGATTAAGAGGGAAATGAAGGGACAGCCACAGCAAGCCTCCCCCTCCACGGCTTCCCCTACCCCTCCTCCCAGACCCTCTGCCCCTGAGCTGAGAGGGACTCACGAGGCACCCCGAGAAACGCAGGGTTCCTGGCATAGCCACTGTTTCCCTGGTGTCTCGTCTCCTGGTCAGCACCCTGGCTCTGGCAGTTGTGTGCAGGCTGACAGAGCACTTTCCCTGCACCCCTTCAGCCCAGTTGCTACTCCCCAAATTTTGCATTGTGACCCCCCCATCCCCAAAATGGCAGCGACCATGTGATCAGGATCCAAGATGGCGCCGGCCATGTGGTGGGCCCTCCCCCCTACCCTTCTTCCCACAATCCCTTTTGCCTGCCTATCCCCTCCTCCAACCCCTTCTGGTCCACTAACCCCTTCTTTCCCTGGAACACCCCTCCTCCTTCCTCCATGTTCCCACCCTGCATGATGTCATCCTGCAACCCCACCTTCTGCATGTTGCAACCTTGGTTCCCACTGTTGCTCTGCTCCTCTGTGCAGTTTCATCCCCCATCCTGTTCCTGTTTCCCACTCCCCCCTGCCCAGTCCCCACGGGGGTGGGACCAGGGTGGAAGGTTGTCCCTTGCCTGGTTCCCATGGGGGGAGTGCTCCCCTTGCCAGGTCCCACGAGGGTGGGGCCAAAGGGGGAAACTCTGGGGATCAAAAGAGGGGGGAGGAAGCCATACCCTCAGCCGCTCCTGTCTTATATGCTGATAGGGGAAGTGGAGCTAGAAACGATCAGCCTTTCTCCTATCAAAGTAAAAGAGAGTTATGCAAAGCCCGAAAAGAACTTGGCCAGGACAGTAAGATCTTTAAAGGCATGATGAAAGTTACCTTAATGTCCCTTGAATTCGTTCTGGCTGACCTCCAAGATCTTTTCCGGTGCTTCCTTACCCCATCAGAGTTCGATCTATGGGAAAGCATTTGGAAGAGATCCCTGAGGGGACTCCTGGAGGAGCTTAAGCAAAGCACCCTGGGTGCAAAAGATTTAGAAAAAATGTGTTCTGGTTTGAAAGCAAAACCAGTGAGACACTCCAAGTCAGAAATACAATTTATTAGGAAAACGGTAAAAAAACCAAAGTACATTCAATAATACAAAAGAAAAAAACCACTGACAGAGTCAGAATACAACCTGACACCCTGTTGGTCAGGGTGTTGGTAGCAGTCCAAATTGGAAGGGCTGCAGTCCTCCCGGAGTGGCAGATGTGGTTCTGTTGGAGCAGTGATCTTGTAGAAGGGTGTAGTCTTCCTCTGAAGATCCAGTGGAAAAGGCAGCTGTTCCTCTGGGAATCCAGTAGAAATGCTGTGTCTGGTGTCCCAAAAACTCAGATTATATCCAGTTAGGAATGCTTGGCTCCTCCCTCTGGGCAGAACATCTCACAATGGGATGCTGTAACTTTTATAAGTCATTCAGTGACATTCAATAGACCATTAGCAGCAGATGTCTCCCTGGAGGTAGGATTGGTTTGTGGGAGAGATAAAGAAAACTGCCCAATTAACAGAAGATAACTGCCACACCTCTAACAGATGGCAAATAGAATACATCTTGCCTTGCAATCTAGGACACAGTGATATCACCTATGAACATCTATGCAGTGAAGGGCAATGGGCTAACCCCAAGGACCAAGCTAGGGTGTTGTCCAAATTCATTCTAGATAAAATCTGGGGAGCTGCAGAAAAGGCTTTTAGCCAGCTACCAACAGTTAAAGCTGGGGGTAGTTATCTTAACATTAAACAGTATGCCTCAGAAAATTTCTTGCAGTTTGTTGACCGTCTTTGTGCACAAATAGAGAGATATGTAGAAGACCCTGTGGCACAGGCATAGTTAATTAAGGAGACGTCTCAGAGGAATGCCAATGAGATCTGCCGCAGGGTGATCCTAGGTCTGCCTATCAATCCTGCACCTACACTAGCACAGTTAATCGAAGTGTGTGCCAAAAAGGCAGAGCTGTTCAGTGCACAAGAGACAAGGTTAAGATCAACAAACCCAAGGACTGTGGCAGCTGTATCACCTGGAGTAATGAGGCAACAGATGTCACCAGAACAGCTTCAACACATCATCTGCTTCCAGTGTAAAAAACCAGGACACGTCACCAGAGACTGCCCTCAAAGCCAGCAGCAGAAGAAGAAAACCAGCAAATAAAAAACTAGGTCAGGATTGTGAGCCCGCCCCGTGCCATGATATAAATGTAGCTGGCTCCACAAGGGGGAAAACCTCACTCAAAACAGAAAAGGGGGAGAAAGGGAGGCGGGATGTGGGACAGCAAAAGAAACGTTTATGTAACAAAATCTGGTCACCTCACAAGCATTTCAAGGTTGCAACCACCAAAACCTTTCTTTTCAGGACAACCCATTGGACAGTCATTGGAGTCGACCTGCCAGAGGACTCACAGAACTTGACAATAGATCACACAGGACTGGACAGTGAGTAATTTGTTATTGGGGACACTGCACACACACCCATGGAGATTGAGGTGGCTCCCATGACAATCAGGGGAGACATACCTAACCTCATTCTCCTGGCGCGCTGCCCTCAGCCACCTTTCTATTTTGCCATGGGGCAAAACATTGCCCAAGTCATTCCCGTTCAAGCGGAAATCCAAGTAGATGACAAAGCACCTAGCATCCACTGGGCAGAAGTGGTTGGCAAGGACAAACCCATTATGGGGTGCAACCTAACGCATGGAGCAGACCATCTCCATGTGAAAGGGTTGCTTGACATGGGGGCAATATGACAATCATACCTGAAAGGTTGTGGCCATCACATTGGGACTTGCAACCCATGGCTGGCAAAATCCAAGGTGTAGGAGGAGTAACATTGTCAAAGATCTCAAAAAGCATCATGCAAATTGAGGGGCCAGACAGAAAATTGGCCAGTGTCCATCCATTTGTCACCGATTACAAAGCTCCCCTGTGGGAGAGAGCCACCATGTCCCAGTGGGGGGGTCAAATTAGTCACCCCTAAGACACCCCAAGATCTTTAGAGGCGGCCACTGTGGAGCATCCTACCCACAAGTTAACATGGCTGGATGATACCCCAGTCTGGGTAAATCAGTGACCACTCAGCAAGGAAAAGCTGAAGGCACTCGAGGAGCTCATAGAAGAGCAATTAGCCAAAGGCCACATAGAAGAGACAACCAGCCTTTGGAATTACCAGGTCTTTGTAATAAATAAGCCAGGGAAGGATAAGTGGCGGCTCTTCCATGATCTACGGGAAATAAACACAGTAACTGAGGACATGGGGTCACTCCAACCAGGGATGCCTTCCCCAATGATGCTTCCCCAAAATTGGTAATTGTCTGTCCTGGACATCAAGGACTGTTTCTTCCAAATTCCCCTACACCGGGAAGATGCCCCACGGTTTTCTTTCTCGGTTCCTACCATCAATAGAGAAGCCCCAATGAAGCGCTACCACTGTAAAGTATTGCCACAGGGCACAAAGTGCAGTCCCTTCATCTGCCAGTGGTACATGGCTTCATTGCTGTCCGGAGATGGCACTGTTCATCGTCCAGCAGGTCATAGGCGAGAAATCCCAGGCACGCTTCTGGTTTTCCTCCTCCTGGCTTTCCTCCTCCTTGCTGTCCTCCAGACGAGCTGTCTCAGTGAAGGTCAGGTTCTTATCTTGAGCTTTCCGCTCCCTCTCTTCTTGGAATTTGCGGAGAGTGTGTGTGCTCTGTTCTTCTCCCGTTTTTTTTCTTTGCTAATTAAGGTTGGAGGTTGTTTGATGTTTCTTGTTCTTCTTGCTGATGCCCACCCAATGGACGCCATTTGTTGGAATCTGTGGGTATTGATGATTCCGAGATTGTAGAAAGTCTCTGTCTTTCTGCCCCGTTGCCAAAGAAGAAGCCATAATTCGTCTGTGCTGTTTTCAAGGTTGTTTATTTTTGCTTATCTCTAACATGTTCTGCTGCCCTGACGCAGGTCTGTCCTGGAGGGCAGCGTGCGGGGCTCTGCCCCCAGTGGGATGTTACAAACATTATATACTAGAAACTACGTGTG